TACCCCGGGGTACCCAAACCGGGCACACACACACCGGGGATACACCCAGGCATACCCCGGGGTACCCAAACCGGGCACACACACACCGGGGATACACCCAGGCATACCCCGGGGTACCCAAACCAGGCACACACCGCGGTATCCCGGGTTACCCTCGGGGTACCCAAACCGGGCACACACCGGGGACACACCGCGGGACTCCCGGGGTACCCAAACCGGGCACACACCCCAGGATGCCCCGAGGTACCCAAACCGGGCACACACCGCGGGATACCCCCGGGGTACCCAAACCGGGCACACACCGTGGTATCCTGGGATACCCCCGAGGTACTCAAACCAGGCACACACCGCGGGATACCCCCGGGGTACCCAAACTGGGCACACACCGCGGGCACACACCCCGGGATACCCCCGGGCACCCACCACGGGCACTGATCTCGGGTACACAGCCCGGGATCCCCCCGGGCACAGACCCCGGGACACCCAGGAGAGGACAAAAGGTCCCAGGGGAAGGCTGGCACCAGTCCCACGCCATAGCCGGAGCTGCCAGCACCTCATTGTTCCCGGTGTTCTACATCTCCAGTGCAACCTCTGCTACCAGGCGTTCTCCGTCCACCCACGGGGACCAAACCGTGCCCCTCGCGTCACCCTGAGGATGAGCAGGGCCATGGGACAAGGTGATCCCGCACCGCTGCCTGCTGGAAGGAGGGATAGGTGGCAGCGAGACCCGCTGCCCTGAACTGCTGTGTGACAGTGGCACTTTGGGCAGCTGTGCTGCGCTGTCTGGAAAGGATTTGCCAGCCTGTGGGGCTGGTGCCAACCAGCCTGTGCCCCTGGTTACACCACTGGGCACGTTTGGTGGCAAAGGCGCAGGGGTTGGGACACCACAGGTAGAATCTCTAAATTAATTAATTTCTAAAGTGTAGTGAAGACTGAACAGAGACAAACCTCTCCTAGTTGGAGCACTGCAATTCCTAAGCAGCCCCAGAAAGGTGGCATGGGTGTGGCCCTGTGGGGTGGGGAGGTGGCAGCTTCACCCCCGTTGTCACCCTCCCTTCATGCAGCAAGTGCAGCTTGGACTTTCTTGCAGTGTCAAAAACAATCAGTAACGAACTGGTGAGCAAATGCCAAACATAATAAAAACAATTACTTTGTTTGAGCACTCCACAAGGTCTCAAACATAAAGCAACGTATTTGCTTACAGTGGCAGGGGTTTTTCCAAGCTACTTTGAACTTCTGCTTGTGTTCATCACGCTCTGTCCTGGTGCACATATCCTTTAGCCCTTTAATAAGCTGTGTAATGGCTGAATGCTGCCTCTGAATCATGAAGCTGCCTCAGTCAATTTTTCTTCAGCACCCTGACACTGCCTGGAGTGCAGGGATGTGTTTGTCCCATGAGCACTGATGTGACACAGTCACCTGGGCCTAAGAAGTAGCAAATCAATGTCCTCAGCCTATGTGTGTATGTGAAATTTCTTTTGCTTTTTATTTTCAGAATTCCTCAGGAAAATCATTTTTGTCAATAGCAAATATCTAGTTGGCCTAAGCTGGAAAATACTCACATACCTACTCAGTGATTAATATGTCAGCATTGGGACAGTGTCAGGTTTTTCTGTTCCTGTGAAGCCATATCAGCTGCATGTGCCAAAGCTCGTTTCAAATCCACATCTGTTACATTTGGGCACTACCTCGGGCTGCCTGTGATCTTACAGTGTTTTCAACAGGGGCAAAACACACCTTTGCCCTCGGCAGGTCAGGACAATGCAGGGCTGTAAACCCCCAGGCAACCCCATTTCATGTGAAACCATGAAACCCCATTTCTACTCAAAACCTAAAACTTCAGCTGGTTGGGTTTTTGTTTGTTTGGTTTTTTTTTTTCCAGGCAATATCCTGCTTTGGCAAATTCTAGTATTACAACCTAAAGGAATCATTAGGACAGAGTAAAGAGGCAGAGTGTCACCAAGTCACCTAAAGTCAGCAATAATTCCTTAGAGCTACTTTTAATCCCCCAAATCAGGTGTCCCTGGGAGTTAATGTGCCGTAGCCAACATATTAGAAAGGCAGAAAAATATATCATAAATGAGATATAAATTAAAAAGATCATATTCTTCCAACTCAAACCGTACTATAGCTCTGTGGTGGGAATCTTGCACCAGCTCAGGATACCTTGACACCCAGCAGGGGGGTGAGTGATGCAGAGCCAGCCCTGGACCTGGCAGAGGACCTTTGCTGGACCTCACCTGCAAAATCCTGACCCAGGCACACTCAGCTGAGGTAGCAGAGCTGTGTCCTGCTCCTGGTCTGCTCAAGGTGTGGTGTTCTTTAAAACAGTGCTTCCTCCATGGATTTATCTAGACATGCCCACATTAATAAAACAGCAGTAAACTGCAACCCATCATTTCCAGATGAAGTTATGTGAAAAGTTTAATGCTATTTCCATGAAGCTGAATTCTCAATAAGAGGCATTTTCACTCTCTTGCACTGGGTTTGTGCTGCTGTACCATCATGACCATCACAGAACATTTTTAGGGGGTTTAACTATTCTGATTCATTTTAAATCCAAGTGAGGAAAATGACAGCATTGTCTCTCAGA